GGATCCCGTTGACGCCCAGTTGGTGCCGCCGCGGGAATTGGAAGGCACCCGGGCACCATGGCCACGACCAGTGAGGCACGCGCGCTGGACCGACCCGCCCCCCGAAGCACAGTCCAACCATGGCCAAGAACAACCGCCGAAAAGCGCCGAGCTCGAGCTCGAGCTGACAGTCACGAAGCCCTTCCCGCTCGTAGTCAACCAACCTTCACTGAACCCCCGAAAGATACGGCTTCGCGGACTTACGCCGTCGGCGTCGGCTTGGCAAAGAGGGGCCGCTAACCCCCCTACCACAACCTGTTCTCTCGCGCCTCCATGGCCTGACGCGCCACCTCCGACGGGGAGATGCTTGCCGATCGCAGCCTTATGTTTTATTATTGTTATTAGTGTTCAATCGTTCTGCCACCTCGTCGTCCGCATCACTCGCGTCAGGCGCCGTCGACTTGACCAGCTCCAGGAACTCCTCTGCGCTACCCCAGTTGACCCTACCCTTCCATTTGGATCCGTTGGCCAAGTTAGGCTGGCCCTAATCTGACGCCGCCTCCACGTTCTCGTAGGCCTTGAAATCGAGTAAACCCTCGTTCGCGTCAGCTCCACCGCCCGCGAGTTGATCAGCGCGTCGAACTCGCCACGCGACATTATCTAGTCCAGAACCGCCGCCAGCATGTAGACCTGCGACGCGATCGAGCACTTCGAGAGCTCCTCCGAGCGAAGCCAGTCCTCGAGCTCCGCCCTGGCACCACGCCCGCTCCTGCACAGGCGGGCAAGGACCGCGGGCGCAACCCGAGAACGCGCGCCACCCGCGCGAGCACTTCTCCATCCACTGCAGTCTTCAGCGCAGTCAAGAGCCCGTGTTTGGGGTTGCGTGCTTCGATCTCCATTTGCGCGAGGGTCTCGCCGACGACGGTACCACCAGGAGAGGGGACCTTGTCCCAGCTGCCCGCTGCACTCGAACAAGGCGCGCCAGGCGCGGAAGCTCTCTTCGCCTCCGCAGCCGAGTCCGCAGAGACGGTATCATCGTGCCCCTGCAGTTTTTTCAAGAAGTCATCCATCAATCAGAGGAGCATGAAGCATTGATACTGATAGATCTCAAGATTTCCAGTTTCCCGTTCGTCCGCGCGGGCTCCAGGGACGAATGGTCGAGCGTATTCCGTCGCGCAGGTTCTCTGCGTGATGTGCGCGGTGCATTTTTCGCGCATCGGAGCGCCCTCGGAGATTCCAAGCTGCATGCTGCGTTGCTCTTGGGGAGCCCGCGAGTCGTAGCTGCCGTGGCGCTGTTTTCGAGGTAGCCCCTTCGAGTGCTGCTCGTGGGCGCAACGCGCAGCGAGCGCTGCGCCCAATCGCGCGCGGCGCGGTGCGTGAATTAACCGGCCGCGCCCGTCGGACCGCCCGGAAATGATTTCTGGATTGTAGAATGTTGCGGAAAACGCATCCATTTGTTTTGGCGCCGTGGGGCCCCCTTTGGCGCCCTTGCCCTTGCCGTCGCACCTGAACGAAAGCTTCTTCTTAGCCACGGGCGTGCTCGCGCCGCTGGCGACGCCATCGATCGGGCCTTTGCTCTTCACCAGGTCGGCAAGCGAGGCGACCGACGCCTGCGAGATGGTCTGCCCACGGGCGAGCTCCGCGAACGAGTGCCTCGAGTCAGGTTCATCGCTCGGGTCGGCCACCGAAGTCCTTGTCACGAGCTCTGAGTCCGACGCCTCGCTCTCGCAACCGCCGCCACTGCTCCACAGATCGGGCGGGCCACCGCCCCAAGAGACTGCCGGGAAGCCGAGGTAGATCACGGGGAAGCCCACCGCGATGACCATCATCATATTTGCTCCATCTCTCTTGGCTCGTACATATCCTCGGCCTTTTCGCACCAGGGTTCCCTCAGCCAACTCACATGCGGCCAAGATCGAGTCGCGCACGGTCCCCAGGACGGACCCTAAGCCCAGGAAGTTCCATGCCCTCCACCCGACGATCGCACCTCCTGCATGGCGTTTGATCCAGAAGAATCTAGACACATTCACCACACCGCCCTCGACCCAGTCGAAAGGCTCGCTCTTCTTGCTCGGTTACTTCTTTGCTACTTCTTGCTGGTATTACTCGTAGTATTAGTCGCATCCGTATGGTTCGTATTATTATGCTGCTTCCTCTTGGGCGGCGCTGAGCTCTTGGCCTGCTCGCCCTCCAGCTCCCGCCGTGTGATGAGCCGCTCCGAGACGGTAAGCCCCCTGTCCCTGCTCGCTGCACTCAACCCTGGATGCTCGGTCCATATCAGGTTCTTGACGAGCCTCGCGAACATGCGCGCCTTGTCGCGGACGTTCATGACCTGCGCATTCAGCGTCGGATCGCAAGCCGCCAACGCAGCGCTGTTCGACTTGCCGATCCGAGACACGAGCAACATGACGACGCCCTGGGAAGGCCCCGTCTTGTAGTAGAGCATTCTCCACCGCGCCCAGGGTGCCATGAGGACAGACGACCTGGTCCCACGGATGAGGATGTCGCCCACTTGTTCGTATATTGGTTCCGCGTGGAGCTCAGACTCCTCCGCTGCCGCCCAGAAATGACAGCCCTCGTCGGCCAAGTCCCCCACGTTCCACCCGACGAGCAAAGCCATTCCGTACTGCCAGAACTTGGCTGTGCCAACCCAATCAGCGAGAGGGCTCTTCCTCCCGCGGTGCGATCAAAATCATGTGGGAACCCCAGGGAGGAAACGCCAGGGAGGGGGACACTTGCCAGGGAGGAAGAGAGAGGAGGGATGACGGGGGAGGAGGAGGCGGAGGAGAAGGACGCAGGTGGGGGGGGAAGGATGGCCGCCAGGGAGGGGGAGGAGGAGAAGGAGGAGGAGAAGGAGGAGGATGAATAAGGACAGCTTTAGGACGAAGGAGAACACAGGAGGAGAAGGAAAGAGCTGTCTCGTTGCCGCCTTCTGTGTCCTCATGCCTTACCCCTCTCAGGTTGATTATACTCCGACCACCCGGGCTCAGATACACCTAGACTAACCTTAATCATACTCAGACTCTTACGCGCAAACTCACTCACACTTAGACTCACTCACACTCACTCAGGCTCCACTCAGGCTCCACTCAGGCCTATCTACACTCAGACTCCCATACTCAACCCATTCATACCCATACCCTTCCGCACCCAGACGCGCGCAGCGGAAAGTGCCAAGAAACTAGATGCATTGAGGATCTCCGCCGTGAGTAAATGTTATTTAATCGCTTCGCTCATTCCGCCGGCCCTGGAGCCCTCTTTAGGGCCTCGTGGAGGCCTCTTGGGGACCTCTTGGGAGTCTCTTGGGGCTCCTTGGCGGCGTCTTGGGGGCCCCCAGGGCCTCTTGGGGGCTCTTGGGGGCCTCTTGGGGCGGGAGGGGGGGTAGTCGATTGCGGCTCCCCCCTCGGAGGCCACGATCCTCGTGAGGGGTGTCGGAAAATTGCCCGGTCCGGCATCTCTGACCCGAGTCTGCCGGGACCCTGCCGGGGTACTTTTCGTCCGGGGACCCCCAGGGGCCGCCCCGCGCGCGCGAAGTAGAAGTACTATTTAGCAGTTACGGGAAATCTTAGCACGCCTCTGGCCCGTTGGGCCGGCGAATTTACCCGGGAGGGGGGGGGGCCCGGATGACAGTAACGTTTGGGCGGGGTGGGGCACGCTGGGGCGGGGGTGCGTTGCGATCGCCAAGGTACGCGCGCGCGCACCAGCATGTGGGGTGGGGGTCCAGGCCCCCCTCCTCACGTACGATCGTTCCCGTTAACAGGGGGGGGAAGTTTGGCCCGGGTAGCGACCGTCATGCGTCAAGCAGAAAGGCGGCCCTTCGACCTCCCCCTTCCGCACCCTCCCTGGCAAGTGTCCCCCTCCCAGGCGGGGTTCTTCCTTGGGGTGGCCACACTCGCGGCGACCATGGGGCTCTCAAAAGAGAGGGGCCTGGGCCACTAATTCAAACCGCCTGAGGCATCCCCACACTGGCCGCGAACGGGGAATGGAAATATACCTTGACGGCTCCCCCTGGGGAGCGCGAGTCATCCTCACCATCCGCTCTGAACGCAGAGCACCTTGGACACCCAAACGCGCAATCCGCTGGAGACCACCCCACAATCTGAGCGCGAGCGGGCCCGTGAGAAAACCCGAGCGGCTCCACCTTGAAAGTCGCCTCGCTCGAGACGTCGTCGGACTCTGCTCTGAGCGCAGACGAGCCTGGCCAGCAAAACAGGCAAACCGCCAGAGACATCCTCGCAAGCTGAGCCCTTGGCGATGCTGAAACCAGCGTCTCACCCGAGACATCCTGAGAATCTGCTCTGAAGGCAAACGAGTCTGGCCACCAAAACAGGCAAACTGCCCCAGACATCCTCGCAATCTGGGCCCCCTGGAGTGCGAAAGCCAGCGCCTCGCCCGAGACATCCTCAAAATCTGTTCCGAAAGCAAAAAATGTTGGACACGCACACGGGCAAACCGTTTGAGACGTCCCCGCAATTTGAGCGCGAGCGGGCCCGTGCAATCCTCCCTTGGCGCCCCCCTTGCGCGTGCGAAAACCAGCGCCTCGCCCGAGACATCCTCGAAATCTGCCCCGACTGCAGAAGATGCTGGGCACGCAAATCTGGTCCATCATCATCAACAGCAGCAACATCATCATTATCATCATCATCATCATCATCATCATCATCATCATCATCATCGTCATCATCATCATCAACAACAACACCACCCTCATCATCATGATCAGCATCATCAGCATCATCAACAACATCATCACCACCACCATCAGCATCATCATCATCATCAGCATCATCATGACCACCATCGTCACCACCATCATCATCATCATCATCATCAGCAGCAGCAGCAGCATCAGCAGCAGCAGCATCATCATAGCCCAGTTGGTCCAGCACCTGCTTGCACGTGGGCCGCTCGGCTGCACCTGCGGCCGCCCCCCCCCCTCCCGCTACGCACCCATGGTTTCGTCCTCGTTCCTGGAATGGGTGATTCAGCAGCTGCTGCTGGGTCGTCAATGCCAGGTCCGGATGAACAGCCACGAGAACAAGTTTGTCTTTTCCTTGGTTCTCCCCGCCAAGTTTGGCGTGCGGATGGACAACACCATCGCGGCTCTTCTCATGGCAGAACTTCGACAGCGTTTGCAGTTCTATGTTGTCGCGAATCATGGTCATCAGACCTGAGTTGGCGAATCGCACGTCAAGATCAGATTCAAACATCGTGTTCCTCCTGGAGGAAGGGCGGGCCACGATAATGCTGATGATGAGGATCTCTCCGACAAAGGTAATGGACCTGATGCCGGTGATGACGATGGTAATTTGGCTGGTGATCGACGTCGTGGAGACCGCGATCGTGAAGCAGGAGGCCTCCCTGGAGGCGCAAGTCCTGGCGCTCGTCGTGCACCTGATCTTTGGGCGTCTGGCAATGGTGATCCGTGGGCTGGCGGTCCTGTTCGCAAAGCCCTCCGTCTGCGTAGGCCTCAACGTGGCGTACGTGGTGGTCCAATGGCTCTTGATTGTCCTCGAGGCGCTGTCCCTATTGGGCTTCCAGTGGTCCCGACTCCCTTTTACTACGATGGTTCGCGAGTTTCTCCCTGAATCTAGTAATTCTGCTGGTGGGCTACCTTGGGCCGATCTTCATAGTGCACAAGATTCTCTCGTTGAAGCCCGATGGTCGTGAGCTTCTCGATGATCGTGAGCTTCCAGATGGTTGTGGGTTTCCGGATGGGCTTCTAGGTGGGCTTCCGGATGCTACTGAGCTTCCAGATGGTCGTGCGTTTCCAGACGGTCGTGAGCTCGTTGGTGGGTTTCCTGATGGTACTGTCTACGGGCTTCCTGATTGTCGTGAGTGTACAGATGGTCGTGAGCTCCCCGATGGTCGTGATGTTTGTCGGTTTCTCGCTGGTCGTGAGTTTCAAATTGATGTGGCTCTGGATGGTCGTGAGTTTCGAGATGGTTGGGAGCTTCCACATGGTCGTGAGCTCGCTGGTGCGCTTCCATATGGACTTGGCTGTGTCATTCCAGATGGTCGTGAGCTTCGACATAGTTGTGAGCTTCCAGAAGATAGAGTTGTTTGTCGGCTTCCAGACGGTCGTGGGGCCCTTGAGGCGGCTGCTGCGGCGAATCTCCTGGCACAGGCCACGGAGGAGATGAAGGAGGTCGTTCGCCAGGCCTTCGGTCGTGTGGAGCATGATGGTGAAGCCTGTCGTGCCGATCTCGGAGGCGTTCTCCCCGCAGGTTCTGTTGGCCACGGTTCGGAACAGGAACGGTGCCGCATCGCAGTGCCGATCGTAGCAGTGCCTCGTATTTTGACGGCCCTTCCTCTGCGGCTTTCTCCGCGCTGCCTCGTGCGTGGCTGCGACTTCCACATGGTGTTCAAGTGGTTTCCTTCGGATATGGTTGGCGTCACGACGGTGTCTTCGTTTTGGGGGCCTGCGGATAGGCGCTTTCCTTTCCTACTTCAGCGGCAGCGGTGGGATCAGCGCCTGCGAGAGGGGCAAGCAGTGAGAGCGGGCTCTGGCGCTACCGAGAGAGATGCAGGAGGCGAAGTTGGTGCCCTCAGTCTTCAGCGGCAGCGCCGAATTGGCGCGTGCGAGAGAAGTAGCCGGTGACAGCAGGCGTTCTCGTTGCGGTGCGAAGGTGTATAACTGGCTTGTTTCTCTGATTGACACTGAATAGGGAGGAGGAGGAGGAGCAGGAGGAGGAGGAGGACGGGGAGGAGGAGGAAGTGGGTGTTCCTCCTCGGCACGGTGTAAGAAACAGCCAGAACCCCATCCTCAGGACATTGAGAAGAACAAGGACCCCGTCCTTAGGATATGGGGAACAATCAATCTCAGCGCAACAATGTATTAAGGCGCCCGGATTTGCGAGGGGTGCAGGCTCCATACGAAATCGGCGCTCTCTGACGCCAAATCGGGCGGCGTTGGCGTTGGGTTTCGCCCCGATCCGTGGATCTGGCACCCACGCGTCAGATCCACGGCTCCCGCGCACCAGAGTCTCGAGGAGGGCACGTCGTCGTCGAACGAGGGCTTGGGGCGGACCCGTGGTCCGTGTCAGAATGCACGCCGAGAGTCAAAAGCGGGCAGCGCGACGATGAGATCTAGATGTATATAGATAGACATGCGCTTATATGTTTATATATACATATAGTTATATACACGTGCAGGTGCGCGTTTGTACACCTCATCGTCATCATCATCAGCAGCAGCATCATCATCATCAGCAGCAGCATGATCGCCTGCTCTAAACCGTGAAGGTGCATGTTAGCCAGCGTGGGCCCCAAACAGTGTTTTCTTGCAATACGCGCGGTGCACTCCGGGTGGGGCGACCCATGTGACGCAACCAACGTGGCGCAATGCATGTGCTGCAACGTATGTGGTGCAGAGCAATGCTTTGCAATGCAAGGCAACGCAACGCAACGCAAAGCACCTTGAGTGTTTTGGCTCCAGATCCAAGCGCCCCCCCGTGGCCTTGAGTACTTCAGCTCCGGGTTCCGATGTCCTCGGTTTCCTCTTTCTCATTTCGCTAACCTCCTAGTTCTAAAGCAATACAAAGCAACCCAAAGCAATGCGATTGCGATGTCTTGCAATGCACAGCATTGCAAAGCCACGTAAAGCACATTCAGTGCTTTGGCTCCGGCTCCCGGTGGCCCAGTTTCCTTGAAGCTCTGGGCTCCGTCGTCCTCGTCCTCTGTCTCCTTTCGCTGACCTCCTGGTTCCAATGCAGCGCAAAGCGATGCGAAGCAATGCGACTGCAACGCAACGCAGTGCGATTGCAACGTAATGCGATCACAATGCAACGGGGGGGGGTGCAACGGAGGGAGGGTGCAGCGGGGCGGCGCCGTTGAGTCACGATTTTGAACGTGCGAGTCTCGCACTATCAAAATTGTAACCAAAATTGGTCGGCGCGGCGGCGGCGACAAGCTGGCCGAGGCGACAGCCAGGCTCAGCTCCTTGGAGCACAGGTAAGAACCCATGCGTGCAAGTATTGTTTTGGGAATCATCGACTGATCATCATCAGAGTGAGGGGGCCGAACGGTCATTCACTGGCCCTGGGTGCGTGGCTGAAATGGGCTTCCGCTGTGCGGATTGCTGTTGCTGTTGTTGTTGCATACGTGTTGAATGGCACGCGAACAGACAAGAGCGAACAGTCTTAAAATGATTGTTGTTGCTGCTGGTGGTGGTGTTGTTGTTGTGCCTATTGCTTGTTGTTTGATGTGTGCTGTTTGTTGATTGGTGTTTGTTGTTTGTTGTGTGTTGTTCGTTGCTATGTGTTGGGTATTGTTTGTTTCTTGTGCTTGGTTGTTTGTTGTATGGTGTTTGTTGCTTGTTCCTTGCTGTCGTCCCGCCCGCGACCCGGCCCGCGACCCACCCGCGACCCACCCGCGACCCACCCTGAGACCCACCCCGCGACCCACCCGCGACCCGCCCGCGACCCGCCCGCGACCCACCCCGCGACCCGCCCCCTACCCGCCCGCGACACATCGGCGATCCACTTGCGACCCACCCGCGACCCACCCGTGACCCACCCCGCGACCCGCCCGCGACCCGCCCGCGACCCACCGGCGACCCACCCTGTGACCCACCCCGCGACCCGTCCGTGACCCGCTCGCGACCCACCTGCGACCCACTTGCGACCCACTTGCCACCCACCCGCAACCCACCCGCAATTCGTCCGCGACCCAACTGCGACCCACCCCGCGCCCGCCCCTTCACTCTTATCCGCTTTGCGGGGTGCTACACAATCGTATACGGCAGGTTCTCGCCGCGTGACGCGGCGGCTGACCAAGCGCGGGCGTTCAAGGTTGAACGCCACCAGTGGCCCAGAATCGCAAGATATCGAGCGATCTGCGCTGGCGGGAAGCCGCGATCGTTCGAGGTTGAACGATCCACGCGGCGTCATAAACCGACGCCGACGTGATCGCGACGCGGACAGGAGGGCACGCGGGAGGAGCGAGGCGCCCCCCAGCCTGGGCCCTGCTCGCCGCGGCGCTGCTTCCCTGCGCGCTCGCGGCGCCCAAGAAGCAGAAGCCGGGGCGCCGACCCGCCCGCGCAGCGCCCCCTCCGCGCGCGCCGCCCCTGTGCACGAGGACCGACTGCTTCGCCTCTCTGGGCGTTCCAGATGGGGTCGGAGTGGATCCAGAGGATGAGCAGGTACGGTAGGTTTGCGTCGTGTCGACCAGCGGCGACCCCAGCGCGGACGTTCAAGGTTGAACGCCGCCGGCGACCCAGAATCGATCGATGTTGAACGATCGGACGTTGCGGCAGCGGCCGATCGTTCAAGGTTGAATGATCCCTGTGGTGTCAAAAGCCAACGCTGGGGTCGGCACGACACGAACCTGCCGTACCCACACCGCTGCCCTTGCCTCGTTTTCGCCTTTTCGGGCCTCTTGGGAGGCCCTCGTCGCCACCGCTGGGTTCGCCTCGGCATTCTGGCCACAACGCACCCCAGAAGAGGTCCGGGGAGGGGCGGTATCGGTACCTTGTGGTTTCCCACAGATGAGGTCGGAGGATCGCGCCGCATCGCTATATCGGCGATGCGGCTCGATGTGGAGCCCGATATCTCCGCGCCGACGGCGCCGATGCATCGCTGGCGTCGCCGATGCATCGCTGATGTATCGTGTTGCGCGCTTGCGGCGCCCAAGAAGCAGAAGCCAAGGCTCCGTCCCCCGCGCACCCGCCCCTGGGCACACCGACCGAGCGTTGCACCTCAGGACCCAGGCATCTTGTGCCACGGTGACGGCTGGTTGGCTCAATCGAAGAACGCCACAAATGTATAAATATGATTTCTCTGAGCTCTGCACAGGTTCCTCGGATCGGCGCTGGGGCCCCTTGGGCGGCGCCTCCGGCGCCGCCTATGTCGCTCTCCGCGCCTCAGGGAGGGGACCCAGCGCCGATCCAAGAAATCCGCGCGGGCCTCCGAGAATGTATGTTCATGCAGTTGTTTGCTCCTCGATTCAAGCTCTTTGACCTCTGGAGGCCCGTCTCCGTGCCTAGGACCATCAGAAAACAGCCCTAGTCGGCCAATCGGTCCCAGGGGAGGCGTGTGGGGGACAGCAGCGCGACTGCGGAAGCCTGGACGGGGCACTTCGGGGCGGCCTCGGCTTCGAGGAATCAAGTGGTTGACCTCTCGTCCTCGGCGGGGTGCCAGCGGAAGCCAGGGGCCTGCCGTTGGAGGCATACGGATCAGGGAATCAAGACTCGAGTTTGCCGGGTCGAGTTTGCCGACGCCTCTGATTGTCTCGACATTCATTTTGACGTCCAGGTGTGCGTGGGATGTGTGCAGCGCGATCTCCCGCCAAAAGCCATGTTCTGACGGCCTTGTCAGACAGATCCGAGTCCCCACAGCTCGGGACTCACGCCTCCCCGAACGCAGGTACCCCCCGAGAGCGGTCAAGGCGGCGTGCCCAGGATTATCGGAGTCGTCCATATCCTCCCCCAGGAGGAGCAAAGGAGAAGGAGGAGAAGGAGCAGGAGGAGGAGGAGGATGCAGAGAAGGAGGAGGAGGAGGAGGACCAGCGTAAACCCTCCCTCCAAGCTCCCTCTTCAAAGGCCCCTACAACGGTTCATTTCCACTGGGGGAGCTGCCTCGTTGGAAGACAACCGTTTGAAGACCCTGAAGCATCCCAAAACATGGCTCTCGGGATTCAAACGCAATGGATAAACCTGACTGTTGCGTCTTGACGGTCCTGAATCGTGCCAGACACCATCCCTGGGACCTTAACACCGCGAACCAAAAAATATGTTCTACCACCCTCCCCCCCCCTCGGACTTAAAGACCCTCTGGGAACCGATGTAAAAAAACATAGGATTCTGACCCAATGTCCATCCGACCTGTGAGTTCATACTATTCCAGCCAAACCGGTATCGGTTCCCCCCGCCATCTTCTGCAACAAAGTCTATGCGTGCACATTCGTTTTTTACAAATAATAAGTTTTCAAGAATCCCTTGCCAACAAGTTGACGAAGTGCACACGCGCGCGTCGTCGCGCGCGCATGCCGAAATCATTCAAAAACCTTCGGTTTGGGAAGGATTTCAAAATCGAGATTCCAAAAAACGTTAAAATAACACAGGGTTTAGCAACACGCATATTCTAAAAACGCTTACGCGCGCGCTCTTGCGAAATCTTCAGGAAACCATCGGTTTCCAAGATATTCAAAAAAAACAAATACTACCGAACGGGCTTCGCGCGCGCATGTCGAAATCTGTCGAACGCCCTTGCGCGCGTGCCGTCGCAGGAATACTCTGCAGAAAATGGGACGGAGTGCACACGCGCGCGTCGTCGCGCGCGCATGCCGAAATCCTTCAAAAATACTCGGTGTCGGAAGGATTTCAAAATCGAGTGTCCAAAAACATACAAAAAACACACGGTTTCACAACACGGATGTTCAACAAAAGCGTGCGCGCGCGTTCTTGCGTCGTCGTCGTCGCCGTCCTCCCTCCTCCCTCGTCGTCGTCGTCGTCGTCGTCGTCGCCGTCGTCGTCCTCTGTTTTTCTTGATCGCCGTCGTCTGGCGTCGTCGTCGTTTCCGTCGTCGTTGTCGCCGTGGTCGTCTTTCCTCCCTCGTCGTCTTCGTCGGCATTTTGTCGTTGTCCCTCCTATTTCGCCGCCGTCGTCGTTGTCGTCGTCGTCCTCGTCGTCTTCCCTCCTCCCTCGTCGTTGTCGTCGTCGGCGTTGCCGTCCTCCCTCCTTGTTCGTCGTTCGCGTCGTCGCTGTCCTCCCTCCTCCCTCGTCGTTGTCGTCGTTGTCGCCGTCGCCGTCCTCCCTCCTCCCTCGTCGTCGTCGTCTTCGTTGGCGACGTCGTCGCCTTCGTCGTCGTCGTCGTCGTCGGCGTCGTCGGCAGCGTCGTCGTCGTCGGCGTCGTCGTCGTCGGCGCTGTCATCGTCGTCGACGTCGTCGGCGTCGGCGTCGTCGTCGTCGGTGTCGTCGTCGTAGTCGTGGTCGTCGTCGTCGAAGTCGCTGGAGGCGTCGTCGGTGTCGTCGTAGTCGTTGTCGGCGTCGTCGTCATCGTTAACGCTGTCGTCGTCGGCGTCGGTGTCGTTGCCAAGTGCTATGTGGTACCCACCGTCACGGTCTTAAGAGGTCTTGCGACCAAGTTGCGGGTGGGAGGGTGGGATGTTTGCACGAGCAGTGGAGAGGACAGTTTCAAGTTGAGCAAGTGGTTGTTGCACCCTCATAATCCGGACTCCGTCCAGAACACCAAACCTGGTACGCTGATCATGGGAATCAGTGAAAGAAACCCTTGCGTTTTTTTGCAAAAACCAAGAATGTGCTCGGCGCTAAGGCGAGAGCCACATTTTGAAAACGGGCCGCCCTCAATACATGAAACTCTTGCGTTTTGTTTAACGAAGGTGAGACGAGAGCCACATGTTGAAAACGGCCCGCCATCAATCCGCAAACCGCTGAAAATGCTTAAATCGAATTCGCGCGGCGCCAAGGCGATATCCACATTTAGAAAACGGCCCGCCCTCCATGTGTGAAACCGCTGCCCATGTTTAAGCGTCAGGGTCATAAGTCCTGAGGAGGTCTCAGGCGAAACGCCTAGCCCGCCCTAAAACTGGCCTCGGGATGCGGCAGGGAAAAGCTAAATATTTGTAAGGGAGAGGATGGCAGGAGGGGTGAAGGGGAGGAGCGGTGAGGGGGAAGTGATTGGGGCGGTTCTCAGAGGGCAAGTTCTGAATTCTTTCAAGATTCTGCGGAGTTCGGGGAGGGGGTCCTCCTCCTGCGGGGCAGGTCGTGAATCCTTTCGATATTCTTGGGAGTTGTGTTGGAACCCGGTCCTCCCCGGGTTCTTGTGCTCCTCTTCCTCTTCCTCCTCTCCTCCTTGCCCTCCTCCGCCTCCCTGGCCGCGCCGCTGCTCCTTCGCCTCCTTCGTCACGCTCCTCTGCTCCTCTCTCCTCCTCCCCTCCTCACCCCTGCGCACCTGCTCCTCCCTTCTCTCCGCCTCCACTACCGCGCCTCCCAACGCCGCCCGCCGCGCTCGCGTGCCTCTCTGGGGGGGGGGCCATCGGGGGCAGCGGCAGCGAGGAAGACACGACATTTTACACTGTGGAGCGGCCCCGCGGAGGGGGGGGGGAGGCGGATACTCGCCGTTCAGGGGCAATGTCAGGGTGTGGTACGTTGGGGGATGCATCGACCCCCAGTCACTTATTGACCGCCGACAGGGACCCGAAAGCCCACTCCCCCAAGAAACCTGTGGATCTGCTATCGGGGGCGTATCGCCGATCCATCGGCGCTGTATCGCCGATTCCACCTGAATGCTTCCCCCCCTGATCTGGTCCCCCCCCGATCGTTGCCCCTCAGCCTTCCCGAGTGCCAGCGGCGCGTGCCCGCCGATCCATCGGCGATGTATCGCTGATTCCACCTCAATGCTTCCCTCCCTGATCTGGTCCCCCCCCGATCGTTGCCCCTCGGCCTTCCCGAGTGCCAGCGGCGCGTGCCCACCCCAACCCTGTGAGGGCCGCGGGGCGGGCGGGCGAGCGGGCAGCAGAGCGACGGCGGCAGCGGGCGGGTCCCCGAAGTCGTGGTGCGGGCGCGGGTGGGGAGGGGGGGCGAAGGGGGAGGCGGAGGCGGAGGAGGAGGAGGAGGAGGAGGAGGAGGAAGAGGAGGGGGGGGGGGGGGCGAAGGGGGAGGCGACAGGGCGCGCCCCTCTGTCGTCCGGGCGCCGCGGCGGCTCGGGTGCGCGAGCCGGCCTGTGTGGACACCGTGCTGCTCCTCTCCCCCTGCCCCTGCTGCTGGCCCGCCTCTGTCCTCTCCCTCTTCAGCAGCCAGGAGGAGGAGGAGGAGGAGGAGGAGGAGGAGGAGGAGGAGGAGGAGGAGGAGGAGGAAGGGTCCAGGGCCTGTGAGGCTGCACGAAGGGCCTCCTCAGCCTCAAAACTGGCACGCCCGTGATGCGCCGCGCCCCGCTCCTGAAGCCGACGGCTGGCGGTAGGCGGATTTCCCTGTAAATGCTCGTTGCGCCCCAGGGCCATCAAAGCACAGCTCGGGAGGAGCAGGCGGCCCCCGGGGAAGGGGCCGAGGCCCTGGGGAGTCCACAACGTGGCACAAGAACACGACGCCGGGTGCACGGGCGGAAGAGGAGGTGCCGAAGCAGCCTCGCTCCGGCTTCACCCCTCCTGCAATCCTTTTCCTCACAAATATATAACTAGCAACGTAGCAAGAACACGACGCCGGATGCATGGGCGGAAGAGGAGGAGGAGGCCGAAGCAGCCTCGCTCCGGCTTCCCTCTCCTCTCCGCCTGCTCCTCCCCTCTCGTCCTCGGGGCCGTCCTCGCTCCCGACCTCCGTTCCTTATAGATAATGTCTCCCTGTCGCACCCCGAGGCCAATTTGCAGGGCGGGCCAGGCGTTTCGCCTGAGACTTCCTCGCCACTTGTGACCCTGAAGCTTAAAGATTGGCAGCAGTTTCACACGTGGAGGGCGGGCCGTTTTCAAAAGGCGGTTTTCGCTAGAGCGCCGCGCACACTCGCTGCAAACATTTGCAAGAGCTTCACGGATTGAGGGCGGCCCGTTTTCAAAATACGGCTCCCTCCTCAGCGCCGCGTACATTCGTTTTAACACGTTGCAAGAGCTTCACGGATTGAGGGCGGCTTCTGTTCAAAATGTGGTTATCGCCGTAGCGCCGCGCACACTCGTTTTTTTTACTGTGCAAGAGTCGCATGGATGCCCATGATCGACGTACCAGATTTGGTGTTTCGGACGGGGTTTGGATTATGAGGGTGCAACAGTTATGTTGATTCGCGGTGTTGATGTCCCAAGAGTTGCTCGGGTACAATTCAGGGTCGTCAAGACGCAACAGACAGGTTGAGCCGTGGCGTTAGAATCCCGAGAACAATGTTTGGGCATGCTTCAGGGTCTTCAAACGGTTGTCTTCCAACGAGGCAGCTCCCTCAGTGGAAATGATACGTTGCTGGGGCATATGAAGAGGGAGCTTGGAGGGAGGGGTTATTCCAATACCTTTGACGACTCTTGGGTTACACTGGTCCTCCTCATCCTCCTCCTTGCCCTTTCGGCTCCAGAACCTGCGCCGTGGCACCTTGCCCACAGCCGTAGCGTTCTGCTGCGAACGTGACACTAGTACCATGCCCCGCGCTGGCTATCAGGCACGGGGTCCCATGGGGCCTTCGTGCCCGTTCGCCCAGTTGCACATGCCAGTCGACTTGATTGGGGTGATGGTCGGGAAGTATTTAGCGGTGACAAGGTGAACGCAACGAGGCGTTCGCCTATCCCTTGCCCGTTTCGTGTGTGCAGTACCTGCGAGTGCGCGGCTCCTCCTCTGTGGGAGGCTAGGATTGATCGGTTTGTCTCGGGACGGCTTTCACTTGCTGAATGGCATAATTCCATGACGCACCCTCGCGCGATGCAGGAGATTCCTGAGGCGCCCAGCAGAGCCGGAGCCCGAGCACCCTGCAGAGCCAGAGCTCGCGACACCTAGGGCGAACGCACACGCCAGCGGCGCGCCGGGGCCTGCGCCTCACGCGTGTTGGACAACCCCATCTCAGCTTCCATTGTGCACGGTTCACGTCGAAACACGTGCTGGGCGTGTGTCGGATAGCCCCGTTTGCCGCCCACGCACGCGAAACCACGCTTACCCCCTGAGCGCACACTCTTTCCCGGTTGAACAATCCGCTGGCCAGTCTGACACACATTGCGTTACACCACTTTGCACCCCTCCAGTCTAGGGTCTACAGCCACAGGCCCGACAACAGAGGTAAAACTGTTGGCCCGAGCCTTTGACGGAGAAAAGGACATGCGAGGTGCTTGCGAGCCCACATCGCAAGGCAAAACACGTTCCACACGCATGTGTTACAACCCCCACCTGGCTCCCACTTTGCGTATCAAAAGCATGTGTCAGGCAAATTCTGGATAGCCTGAAACCACGTGCCAGGGCCACGCCCAGGCGCATGTCGGATACGTACCCATGTTGGCGCCTACTCCCCCCAGATGTTCTTTTGTGTGGAGATTCCGCGGGCCAGCCCGACGGACCTTGCAAGGTACGAATCCTTGAAATCGTCAATTGTTGCATGTCCTTGGTGCCAGAGTTCTGAGGGCTGCTCATGCGAAGCGTATGCACACGGGTTTCCTGGCAGGAGAGAAAGTTCGCATCAGAACAAAACCCCAGTTAGCATAGCTTCCTCTTGGAAAGAAGAAGCAGGAAGTAGAAAAAGACCCCCACCCCGCCGCGCAGCGAGGAGATACGACGACAACGTCCTTCGGACTAGAGCAGGGCAAAGTCGGAATGTTCCTGGTCGTAACGTGTCGCTTCATCCGCAATGGGTTTCTCGGAGTAGTGTGACTGAAGTTTCGCAGGGCACTACCCTTTCCCCATAGTAGGCAACGCCACACTACATGGAAACATCTCCGCATGGGCCTATGATACGTGTGACGGGTGTGCCGAAATGGGCGGAGGGGTGGGCCGCACGTGGACGCATCTTCAAGGGCCTTCGGTGGAGCCGACCTTGTGGCCGCGAAGCGTGAGAGGGGTGTGGGCGGAGGGGCGCATGTGGACGCACCCATCGGCACCTTCGAGGGAGCTTCCCTCTATGGCTTTGTGCAGGAGCCGCGAAACGTGTGAGCGGTGTGCTGGGACGGGCGGGGGGGACGCATGTGGACGCACCCACTGGGCCCATCGGCGGAATGTCCTATGGGCCCACGGAGCGTGTGCGGGGTGTGCCGAAATGGGCGGGGGGGGGGACGCACGTGGACGCAGCCATTGGGGCCTTCAGTGGAGCTCCCTGTGGAGCCACGAAGCGTGCGAGGGGCGTAGCAAGATGGGCGGAGGTGCGCGTGTGAAGGCACCTTCTGGGTCCTCCGGTGGAGCTCCATTCAGGAGGGGAAAAAACATACAGACACAATGAATCGTCCATTCCCCAGAAAATAGGGGAAAATATGGGAAGTGGTGGGGAAGACGAAAATCCAGAAAATATGGGAAAGTATGGGGAATAGTTTTATGTGTGGATTTATTTGTGTGTCCTGGGCCCCCTTTATCCATATGGCGTCACGAAGCGTGTGAGAGGCGTGCTGAGACGGGCGGGGGGACCGCGTGTGGATGCACCCACTGGGGCCTTCGGTGAAGCTCCTGATGGGGCCACGCAGAGTGCTGGGAGCCTGCCGAAGGGGAGGAGGGGGAGGAAGGATGCGAGACACGACGACGACGATGATGGTGACGATGATGGTAATGGTGATGGTGAAGGCGATGTTGACGTTGAGGAAGATAATGAGGATGAGGAGGAGGAGGAGGAGGAGGAGGAGGAGGGTGGCGACGGTGCGGAAGATGAGGAGGATGGTGGTGATGTCGTTGAAGATTATGTTGGTGTTGGTGCTGGTAGTGATAACGACCATGATGATGATTATGATGATGACGGTGATGATGCTGATGATGATGACGGTGATGATGATGATGATGATGATGATGATGATGATGATGATGATGATGATGATGATGATGATGATGATGATGATGGCGATGGTGACGATGATGATGACGACGATGATGCTGATGATGTTGGTGCTGATGCTCATGCTGGTGCTGGTGATGCTGATGCTGATGGTGTTGATGATTATGATGTTGATGCTGCTTATGGTGGTGATGATGGTGGTGGTGATAGTGATGGTGATGATGTTAATGACGACGATGAAGATCAGGATCAGGACATGCGCAAAGCAGAAGCAAGGAAGGGAGGGGGAGGAGAGGGAGGGTGGAGAAGGACGGAATGAGGCGGGGCGATGCGGATTTCAATCGAGGACCCAACAACAAAGGAGGCTTTGGCAAACCTTGGCAGCTTTTGTCTGCCTCCGCCCTGCCTTGCCGCTCTGGGCTCTCAGGCGCTCCCCCTGCCTCGTTGATTCTGCTCTCGCCCCCCCACCCCTCAGGATGCAACTCCAGGGAGGGTGAACGCCGGCCTGATCCAGCGCAGTCCAGCCTCAAACAGCCCAATCCAGCACAGTCTGGCTGAGCATGCCTTATGTAGGCATTGGTTTACCCTGACCGTCCCTGACCTGATCAGCTGCAATATCTCCCTCCATAATGGTTTTCAACCGTGCTCGCGAAAATCTCCCTGGAGGTGCTACCTCAGACCCTCATCGTTCCATCCCGCCCTCTTGTGTACGCACATCGGGCTCTCAGGTGCCCCCCCCCGCCACCTCTCTCCCCCCCCCCACCTTTCCTTACCGTTGGTTTGCGCCGCGCTGACGCGGCGGCGACGCTCGCGCGGGTGCTCAAGGTTGAACGCCGCCAGATGCCCAGCAGCGGCCGACATGGTACAGTCAGTCTGGGTCATCCTCAGGCCGCGACCGCTCTTGGCTGAACGGCCCACGCGGTGCCAGAGGCCACGCGCCAAGACTGCCGCAGCAGGCCGAGCGGTTCACGGGTTGCTTGGCGTCGTCGCTACGTGCGCCTGCCGCAGAGGAAATACAGTCGGGGCTCTGAAGAAGGAGCCCTTTTCGTTGGGGAGGGGCTCCGTGTTCCTTGATTGCTTCACAGTTTGCCTTGGGTTTTCCTTTGGTTCTCGATGGGAAATCGGAGCTCAACTTGTGGGAGAGAGGGGCCCCGTTCCTCATTGATCGTTCCTTAGGTCAACGCCCCGACTGTAGCCCACCGACTCCCGTGCATCCCCCCCGCCTCAGGCTCGGCGCCGGCGCCGGCACGTCGACGCCCTCGGCATCCTGGATCGGTGGAGGGCTGGGAGGGCCCTGGTTTCGGGGGCACGTTCAGGAGGAGAAAAGACACACAGACACAATTAATTGTCGTTTCCCCAGAAAATATATGGGAAAGTATGGAAAGTGGGGAGGAAGACAGAAACCAAGAAAATATGGGAAAATATGGGGAATCTGGTTATTTGTGTCTATATATTTGTGTGTTCCAGTTCCCCCTCACACGTACGGTTCGAGTTCGCCGGGACTCGGGTTTGCCGACGCTTGTTGACGAGCCCGTCCTGGATTTCGGTGGTCCAGCATTCGTGGGATGTCTGCAGCGGGAGCTCGCGTCAAATTTCAAATTTGGTCTCGTCACTATTCTGACGGCCCCGTCAGGCCAACCCGAGTCCCCCGAGCTTGAGTCTTAAGTCTCCCCGACTCTGGATCGCCCACATCAGGCAACAGGTGGAGAGTGAGAGGGGTGGGAGGGGGTGGGCAGACAAGACAAGACCGATCCCGAAGCAAATTAGAGGAGGAGGGGGAATCAGCAGCAACATTAGCGGTGGATGGGCACAGGGGGTGACGCCTCAACCCCCGATCGCCCACTCATCGCCGCTAGGGGCCCAATAGCACCACCCGCCCAGGTACGTGCGGTTTCGCTATCGGGGGACTATCGCCGCTCTATCGGCGATGTATCGACGATTCCAGGTCGATGCTCTCCCCTGAGACGGTCGTCTCCCAACGTTCCCCCCAAGATGGGTCGTCTCCCAACGTTCCCCCCAAGATGATGACGGTGCGCGACCACGTGGGCGGGCCCTTTGCTTTCTGGCGTCTGTCACCGACGGTGTTCGACATGGAAAAATGAGAATGGGGGGAAAGAGAGAGAGAGAGGGAAAGAAGTAAAGAAAGAAGAAACAAGCAAATAAAGAGAGAGAGAGAGAGAGCGAGAGAGATAGAGAGAAAGAGAGACAGAGAGAGAGAGAGAGAGAAGGGAGGTATGCAGGGAAGGATGGGGTGGAGGGGGAGGGAAGAGTAAGGGTGTCGGAATCGAACCGAGCTCCGGGGGCACGAGGTTCGCCTGAGGTAAGGTGTCTGTGCAGCTTCTGGCTTTCGCGCCAGTTGAACTACATATCGACTTTGTTAGCCGCCGAGGGTGGATGATGGATAAGGGAGAGGGGACAGGGAGATCAAGAAGGGAGGACGGCACATGGATGGAAGACGGCTGAGGCGGAGGATGGGGAGGAAACCAGCCACGCAGACAAACGCGGTCACCCATGAGGGAAGTGCGATGCGAAAGGCAGAGGAGAATGAGGAGGGAGGACCTGGCATCGCTCGGACGTGTGCGTTTTTTCCTCGGCGAGGACCATCGAGGAGCATCCTTGACCATTTGCCGAAAAAAACACGCACGAGACCGAAAAAAGCACAGGGAGTGGACGTCCGAGCGATGCCGAGAGGAGGACCAGAGTAAACCCAGGATGTATCAACGATGTTGCGAGCCGCCCTCCGCCTCCTCCTCCTCCTCCTCCTCCTCCTCCTCCTCCTCCTCCTCCTCCCCCTCCTCCTCCTCCTCCTGCTCCTCCTCCTCCTCCTGCTCCTCCTCCTCCTCCTCCTTTTCCTCCTCATCCGCCTCGTGGGCCTCCACAGGCCGACCTCTTGAAGACGAGAGGCGCTCCCTCGAGAGGCGAGGGCCCGTGGGCGAGCCGCTCGGGCGAGCGCCCCGCTCTGCGGAGGAGTTGCCCGGCATAGGGGGGGCATCCCCTGCTCTCCTCCTCCTCCCTTCTCCTCCTCCTCCTCCTCCTCCTCCTCCTCCTCCTCGTCTTGCGACTTCTCAGGGCTGCGGCAGGGTAGGTCCGGTAGGATCACGAAGCTCGGCGAGAGGCCCAGCGAGAGCCCTGTGCCGGAAGGGAGCCGCCCCCCCGTTCGCACAAGCGTCGTGCAGGCTTGCAGTTCCAGTTGCTAGATTCGCGGCAGGTCAGGTAGGATCACAGAGCTCAGCGAGTTGCCCAGCGAGAGCCCTGTGTTGAAAGGCAACCGCCCCCCCGTTCGCACAAGTGTTGTGCAAGCTTACAGTTCTAGTTGCTAGGTTCGCGGGCGTATCATGCGAGAGCCCCCGTGTTTGAAAGTGGGCGCCCTCTTTTTCTGTGCAGCTGTTGCGTATGCTCGTTTATAGTTGCTAAGCTTGAGGAAGTCACAGGCGAGAGCCCTATTCATGAGGAACCGCCCTCCACCCATGTAGCAGTTGCATAAGTTCACGCGTCTTGCACGTATTGAAAATTCAGGCGGATACCCATTTTGAAAGCGTTCGGGCCTCTATCCGTGTAGCTGCTGCCCAATGTCACACTTGTTGTATGTGCAAGGCAGTCCCCAGAACAACAACAGCAACAACAACAACAAACACTAATATGTTTAAGACTGTTCGCCCTTATATGCTCGAGTGTCCAATAACGCGTATTTCCCAAACCCTCGATACCCGCCCTCTTCGTCTTCGATCGAACCCCTTTTGGGGGGTATACCTTTCTTCCCTGCAGGCCGGGCCCCGGCAAGCGGCGGAGCGGCCGCGGACCGTCGGCCTGGCCAGCGGCAGCGCTGATCGGCGGGGCGGCCGCGGACCGTCGACCCGACCCGAAGAGGGATGGACAGGGGACCGACCACGACGACGACGACGACCACGACGACCACGACGACGTCGAAGACGACAGCGACGACGACGACGGCGACGACGAGCGAAAGCGAGAGCGAGAGAGAACGACAGCAGGGCCACGAAGGGCACGAAGTAGGCCACGAGGGGCGACAGCGGGGACACGAAGGGAATGCGTATGGGGCCACAAAGAGCGCGAACGAGCGGGGGCCACGAAGTGCAGATCATGCGGGGCCACAGAAGGCAAAAATGGCGACAGGGGGCCACGAAGGGCACGCACATGGGGCCACAACGGGCGCGACTCCTGGGTGCCTGGGTGTCGGGAGCGCGGCGCTTGGGCAAATTGCAGGAAATTCAAACGCAAGGCCATTCTGTAAGTTGCAAGCAAGTCTCCTGCGAGAGCGCGACTCCCGGGAGAGCGATTCCTGAATAAATTGTAAGGAAGTCCCAAGCGAGAGCGCGATCCCTGAATCAAATGCGAGGAAGTCTCGGGCGGGAGCGGGGGTCCTGGCTAAATTGTAGGGAAGTCTCAGGCGGGAGCCGTTGTTGTTGTAACCCGGGGGCCTTGAGAAAAAACAGTATGCACCGGTGGGGGGGGATCAACAATAATTATTCTTCCGAAATGAGAAAACAACAACCACAACAACAACAAACCGTTTGAAACGGAGCCGCCCTCCATCGCTATAGTGTTGCGAGCGTTTAAAGCAAATCCACGCGGCGCTAAGGCGAGACCCGCACTTTGAAAAGGAGCCGCCCTCCATCTGCAGGTGTTTAAGACGAGTGCATGCGGCGCTAAGGCGAGAGCTTCAGTTTGAAACCGACTCGCCCACCATCACAGGAATCCATGCATTACTTACAGACCAACGTGTGCGGGCTGAGGCGGGAGCTCAAGTTTGAAAATCACTTGTCTTCCATGCCTGTAACTGTTGTGAACTGCCACGTTGAAGTATCATGGTCGAGTAGTCAGACGAAGACAGTCATACATAAGGAAACGGGATTGAGGATGAAAAGTGGATGTAGGGCCGAGGGTAAGACGGCCAGGTCGCAAGTGTTAGTTCAGCTCATAGATGACAGCCACATTCGGCCACCCCTGCCTGAACGCGCTGCCCCTTTCAGTCGGTGCGGCCGCTGCCAGTTCCGAGGCAACCTGCCCACGTAAAGGCATCATCCAATGCTGCCGACGGTCCTTCTTCGCGCATGGAACATCAGGAGTTTGAGGAAGGGGAGGAGGAGGCAAGATGGAGGGCCCAGACCTGCGACGTCTTGATTGTTTCAGTACCTGGGGCTCTGGAGACCTCGGCCCTACCACTCGTACAGATTTCGCGCCGCGGGGCATCCTTAGGTTTGGAACGGCCGTTATGTTGTACTTCAACGTCCTCTGGAGATCCGGGGGGGCGAATGGAGGATGGATCTGGGGGTTCGGTACCCCCACATCCCTGCTCTGGTGTCTCCCAGGTCCAATTTCTGTTCGGGCGCCTTTTCGAGGACGTGAGGGCATCGATAATCAAGCCAGCCTCGAGAAGCCGAAGCGCAGAGAGGCGCGACGTTGCTCAGGCGGTGTTGGGGGCACCGGGGGAAGGGGGGGTCGGCGGGTCCGCCATCTTCGCAGTAAGGTTCTCTGGCAGCCCCGGGCACGTGCTCGAGCCTGGCCCCCACCCGCACGATCCGCACGCCGACGACTTCGTGCCGAGGCGCCGCTTGCCCAAGGGAGTGCGCTCGCGCTAAGAGCGAAACAGTGGTGGGGGGGGGGTCGGGGGGGCAGTCTGAGAGCAGCAACGCAGCTGAGGGGGGAGAACGAAAGCGTGAGCAGGACAGCCCCTCCGTCAGGCTGCAGGAGAGGACGATGAGCCCCGTGAGGCGGCAGGGATCTACATGTGGGATTGGGGGTGGGCAGAGGAGACGGAGGATGTGGGGCGATGGATCTCCAAAACGACTCGTATCTTGAGAACCTTTGACTCACAGGGAGTGGCCCCACTCTATCGCGCGAACTAGGCAAGACCCTACCAGAGGGCAACACCAGGCCAGCCTGTATAGAGCCAGCCTTCAGAAATAGTCTTCTCATCGTACCATCCCTCTTTCTCTTACGTCGCTTGCGCTGCACGTCTCGATCTTAAGTCCTGCACGTCCGGACCTATAAATTTGGGATTGGGGGTGGGCATTGGAGAGGTGATGGTAGTGGAGGAGGCATCGCTTCTGCTTATACCTTTGGCAGCCCATCTGCCACATGTTTCCGTGCACCACTTCCTTCCACACGAGGGTCTCATCCACAGGCCAGTCTCGAAGGCCAGCCTTCTACACACCCGCGCATGCAAATTACTCGTGGCAGCTTTGTCGATCAGCTCTCACCAGTTTACTGAGTCATGCTTGCTCCTGCTGTTTACCTGTGATATGAGGCAGCGCCTACCATTGAATACTGAGAGGCCTATTACTGTACTTAGTCACTTACGGGGGCTCTTCATACTAAGGTACGCGTTGAGCTCCAGTGCATGGCGGGCGCTTATTTTCTTCTACTCTTGCCACCGCCCTTCTCGCCCAGCTTCTTTCGCGGCGCCCGCCAGGTGCTTCGTGCACCGAGTCGGGCTTCTGTTTTTTTCGTATGCACACGCTCAAGAACGCAACAGGCTTCACACCAAATGTTAGTCTAACGTAAAAAGGCGGCAGGGAGGAGGAGGAGAAGGAGCAGCAGCAGCAGCAGCAGCAGGAGCAGCAGGAGCAGAGGCGGAGAAAGGATAGAGGAGACGGAAAAGGCGTTCCCTGTCGCAGTGCTCTCTGCACCGCTCCCTGCGCAGTCTCTTTTGAGCGGCTTGCCGCCCTGCAGTGGGCAGTGTACCGCACTTGTCACAGGGGAAGCCACGGGGCAGTCCGTTCCAGCCGTCGGGGCGGGGACCTGCCGTCCGAAACAAAAAGGTGAGACGGCCTCCGAAGGAGGACGCCCAGCCATCCGACGTCGCGTTTTTGTGCACAGCGTGGCTCCCGAGAGATCTGGACCCCCTCTCCCCAGGGGGCGGGGCTTTCGCCCGAGCCGTCTTTCAACGGCCCCGGGGCCCGACCAGGGCCCCCACGGGAGGCCGAGGGCGGCCAAGCAAACGCCGTCGCGACTGCTCCACGATTTGAAGAAGTCGTCAACTCCCCTGCTCGTGTAAACAGCCCCTCTCGGGTCCTCGGCTGCCCCGTCTCTTCCACAGTGACGCCCCCCGAGCTCGTCCTTGAAGGCCCCGGCGGAGGAGGCCTTCGCTTCGTGGCTGGGGGCGGCCGCCTGTATGCTCCAAGGCGCCGCGCGCGGGCCCCGACCCTGGCGACCCCTCTGGCGCAGCGCCCCGTCGCTTGGCAGGACGGCCCGCTTTCTGCGGGCACTTCTGCGTGCTCGGAGCCCGCGGAGCGCCGCCGTGCGTCCTTTCCGGCTGAGCTCCTCTCGGTTTGGGGAGTTCGGTTTTTTCTTTCGGCTCCCGTGTGGGAGGAGGGGCGGGGAGGGAGGATCAAGGAACAGCAAGCGGCACAAACATGTTTCCACACACTTCGCGTAACCCCACCAGTTTTCGCCGTCCGGCCGTGCCGGGCCTCTTTGCTTTTCTCCCCTCGCATGTGCCTCCGGCGTTGGCTTTTGGCCCGCTGGTAATTATCTCGCTTGGCCTCCCGCTTGCTCCCCTTGGCGGGTTGGGGCTCTCCCCTCGCACGTGCATCCCAGCGTTGGCTTTCGGCCCGCTGGTAATTATCTCGCTTGGCCTTCCAAGCTTGCTACGCCCTCTCTGGCACAGGTGCACTCCGGCGTTGGCTTTGGCCGGCTGGCAATTATCTTGCGTGCTGCCCCATACTCGACACGACCCGCTCTCTGCGTCCTTGGAGCCGCAAATCAAAAAAAAAAATAACCCCACCAGCCCATCTAGAAACGATGTCCAGACGAGTTGCTCGGATCAGGGATGGGGAGTATAACGCAGTGGAATAATTTGTTGGGTAAGACGTCGTATCCCAAAAGGGGGAGGATAGAGGAGGAGTCCGAGGAGGAGCAAAAGGAGGAGGAGGAGGAGGAGGACGAGGAGGAGGAGGAGGAGGAGAAGAAGAAGGGGGAGGAGGGACGAGGAAGGAGGAGGAACATGTAGAGGAGGAGGAGGAGGAGGACCATTGCAAACCCAAGATTCGTCAACGACATTGGGATACACCCTCTCTCCAACCTCCTTCCTCATAGGCCCCATACAAGGGTTCATTTTTGCTGCGGGAAGTGCTCCGGTGGGAGACAACCGTGTGAAAACCCTGAAGCGCGCCGAAACACCATTCTCAGGATTTCAACGCCACGGGTCAACTTGACTGTTGCATCTTGACGATCCTGAATCGTGCCAGAACACCATTCCTGCGACATCAGCGCCGCGAATCAACGTAACTGTTGCGCCCTGACAGTCCTGAATCGGTCTGGAAGGTGAACGTCAAGAACCCGCTAAACTCTTGCATTGTTTGATGTGCGCTTCGCTGAGACCAGATCCGCATGTTCAAACGGCCCGCCCTCAATCCGTGAACCTCTTGTAGTTCTTATAGAGCGAATGTGCGCTGCGCTACGGCGAGAGCCACATTTTGAAACGGTCCGCCCTCAATCCGTGAAGCTCCTTGCAAAGTTTGAAACGAATGTGCGCGGCGCTAAGGCGAGAGCTACAGTTTGAAAACGAGTCGCCAAATATTGACGAATGCGCGCTGCGCGAATGCAAGAGCTACATTTGGAAAACAGCCCGCCCTCAATGTGTGGAGCTCTTGCAATGTTTTAAGGCGAATGCGCGCGGCGCTACGGCGAGAGCCACAGGTTGGAAGCGGCCCGCCCTCCATGTGTGAAATTGTCGCCACCTTCTGAGCTCCAGGCTCGTGAATGGCAAGGAAGTCTGAAGCGGATCGCGCGGCCCGCCTTTCCGACAGGCTTCGGGGTGCGAGAGGGAGGAATTATTCGTGAGGAAGAGGAATGGAGGGCGAGCAGAAAGGCTAGAGGCCTCTTGGATGCCTTTCGGATGCTCTTCGGATTTCTTTCGAACATGTCTTGGAGTTCTCTCGGGGCGTTTTGGGGGTCTTTTGGCTGGGCTCCTCGAGGGGAGCCTCTTGGAGCCCCTTGGGGGCCTCTGGGGAGCCTCTTGGGGGCCTCTTGGGGGTCTCTTGGGCCTCCTGGGCACCTCTTGGGGCCCTCTTGGGGCATCCTTGGGAGCCTCGGGGGCCATTTTGGGGCCATCTTGGGGGAGATCGATCGAAGGACCAAAGAGGGGTGACTCCTTACCTAGGGTTCCCCCCCATCAGGAGGCCAACATGTTGCCAAACCAATAGTAAACCAATAAGATGGGCTTTCTCGCCGAGGCTTCTTGAGGCGTCTTGGATGCCTCTGGGGGACCTCTTAGAGCCTCTAGGGGGTCTTTCGGGGACCTCTAGGGGGCCTCTTGGGGGCCTCTTGGGACCTCCTGGGCACCTCCTCGAACCCCCTTTTGAGCATCTTGGGGAGCCTCGGGGGCGATCGTTGGGCCATCTTAGAGGAGATCGATCAAAGGAGCGGAGCTGCCCAATTAGAGTCCTCCCCAGGAGGCCAACACGTGGCCAAAACCTTGGTAAAACCAATGTTTGTGGCTTCCGCGCCGAGGCCATCTTGGACGCTCCAGCGACCCGCCGCCTCCCGCATCCAGACCCAGGGGGAAGGGGAGGGGCATGGGGGAGGGGTCAAGACACTCTCCCCGCCCGCAAGCAGGTTTCGCTCACTCCCACCCCCCTTCCCAACACATAAGCAGCACCCGAGCCCCAGCGTGTTCAGCGGCAGTCTTTGGATGGACAGCGAATTGGAACCAGAAAAGACCCCATGTGCGCAACGCTGGGGCGAGGTGCGCCAGGCACCCCTGTGGCCCAAGCGTGCCCGGCACGCCTGGTGCGCCAGATGCGCCACGTGATCCGCATGCTCCAGCCGTGCCAGGTGCGCCACGTTCGGGGCACGCGCAGAGTGCGCCAGGTGCGTCTGCGCACGTGGCAGTACACATCGGGAAACGCGTCGGCCCCCACCACCCTTGGAGAAAACCAGTGCACAATTGCGGCGGGGTGGCAATCCTAGCGTCTGGTGGGCCTGCACATAGCAGGCAGTATGCCAGCAACCCCGCCGTCCCAGTGAAAAACCTATGTACGGTGATCGCGGGGTGCCCGCGCATGATCCAGATTGCCTCTCGAAGTAAGTTTGTTGTATTGTTTTTTGAAGGGGAAGGTGGCCGTGCGCACTGCAGGCAATATGCCGGCACCCCCGCCGTCCCTATCAAACAAAAATACAAACTGCTCGCGGCCTCCCCGATCATGACCCAAGATTTTGCCCCAAAGTGGACTTCACGTTGCTTTTTGATAGAGGTGATGGGGGGGGCGCCCACATTGGTCCTGGTGACCTGCTGGTCGCCTGGGGGAGGGGGTATTTATTAACAGGGAACAGCGATACAATGGTAAAACCCTTCCCCTGAGGGGGAAGAGGGAAGATGGAAGAGGAAACTCGCTGAACCACTCATGCCCAGAGGGCTGGTGGGATGTCTCGGAGGTCCGCGCGGATTTCTTAGATCGGCGGTGGGCTCCCCTGGCAGCGCCTCCAGCGCCGCCCTCGGCGCGGTTCACCCTTGGCGCGGTTCGCGCGCCAAAGAGCGGGGTGCACCGCCAATCCGAGAAATCTGCGCGGACCTGTGAGAAAGTATGTGTATGCCGTTTGTTGCTCCAGTAGGAGGGGGGGATGGGAGGAGAGGAGAGGGAGAGGGGGGACCAGCGTAAACCCATGAGGCATCAACGATGATGCAGTACACCTGCCCGGCCCGAGCCCTCTTCTTCATAAAGCCCTACAGACCTTCCTCTTCACCACAAGAAGCGCCCCTTGGAAAGACGAGCACCAGAAGGGCCCACAAATCAGGCGAGAGCCCCGTTGTCAAAAGAAACTGCCTCACATCCTCCCAGCGCGCGATAAGTAATGCGAAACATTCGGATCGGACAGTTTGACGACATGTCCAGTGAGAGCCCCGCGTTAAGAGAGAGCCGCCCCCTCCTGCGCGACGACGGCAACAGCAGCTCACAGATTATGCTTGCCGGGCGTGGGCACTCTACAGAGAGAGCCCCAGGTTGAAACAGACCCGCCCTCCATCCGTGCAGTTGCTACATGTGTTTAACTTGTTGGCCGTTGAACTATCAGGAGGAAAAGAAACACACAGACACAATTAATCCTCGATTTCCGAGAATATATTGGAAAATATGGGGAGTGGGGGGGAAGACAGAAACCCAGAAAATATGGGAAAATATAGGGAATCTTTTTATTTGTGTGTATTTATTTGTGTGTCCCAGGGCCCCTTCAAATTAAAGGATCTCTCAAGCAAGGGCCGCACTTGGCAAAAGGAGCTACCCTCTGCCACGGTAGCGACTGCAGAAGACGAGGGCGGATGTGCGCGGCGCCGTGGCGACAACCCCATGGTCAGAACGGTTCGCCTTCATCCCTAAAGTTGCTGCAAATTGTTGAATCGACTTGTGCGCGGCGCGAAGGCGAAAGCCTCATTTTGAAAACGAAGCGCTTCCTGTCCTTGTAGATGATGCTGCAACAGTTGCAAGACGAATGCGCGCGGCGGTAAGGCGACAGCCCCCTTCTGAAGAAGCCACCCTCCACCGTTTCAGAGCTGCTACAAGCCTGTAACACGGATGCGCGCGGCGCCAAGGCGAGAGCTTAGCAGACGGAAGTAGAAGTGAGACGCCAACACGCTTGACCCAGGTCTTCTGGAGTCGGCCAGGTGGCGTGGCCAGCTTGGGCGAGCATCGGGCACCTGTGCGACCGCGTGCACTTCCAGCGTCTGGCCCTACGTGGACGAGTTCGCTGGCCCTCCGCGCGTGTATCCATCAAGCGGCGCATGTTCCGTGGGTGAATCCAGCCGTGCGCAAATGTGTGCTCCAGCATCGTGCGCGTGGCCGCATGCCGTTGCCGCGGCCAGGCTCGGCTCTGCCGCGGCCAGAATCGGCTCGAAAAGCCGAGGCCAAGGGAACTTGTGCCGCCTCCGCGGGCGAGCCAGGGCCCAGCAGTGGGTAGCTCTCTGGCCCAACTCAGCCCTTCAAACAGCTCTCTTGCGAGTGGCCGCATGCCGATACCCGTCCAACCTTCCCTTCGCCCCCCGTCTCCTCTGACAAGCACCGCGGAGATGGTCGCTCCTGGGGGCGCGTCCCTGCGAGGCCCCCTGCCGCACCGACTCCTGCCATCCTTCTGGCCCAGGAAAGGCCTGCCGTTCTCTGGCACCCTTCGGCGCGCTCTTGCAAAGCCATTGCTCGAGTCAGAACTCACACCCCAGATCTCTCCAGAGGGCGTTCTGACCAGCATGACGGGCGGCAGACCAGCCGTGGCGACCAAAAGCATCACGGAGGCCCACAAAGGACAAGAGGCGCCCCAAAACCTCTACCCCCGAAATTCGATCTTCGAACCTCGATCCTCCTCCCCCTCGATCCCCCTCCCCCTCCTCCTCCTCCCCTCCTCCTCCCCTCCTCCTCCTCTCCTCCTCCTCCTCCTCCCCCTCCTCCTCCTCCTCCTCCTCCTCCTCCTCCTCCTCCTCCCCCTCCTCCCCCTCCTCCTCCTCCTCCTCCTCATTGCATCCCTGCACCCGTCTTATTGGGCCCCCGCCCGGAGGCCCAGCGAGGGCGCCGGTCTGTGGGACTTTGGGCGTGCCCACGCGGCCGTCCAGCACGCGCTGGGCGCCTGCCGGGCCGGGAACGCCACCGCCACCGCGGAGGCCTTCGAGGAGCGGGCCGCCGGGCCGTCGGGCGGAGTCGGGCACCGAGGCGCCTGGAGGAGGAGGAGGAGGAGGAGGAGGAGGAGGAGGAGGAGGAGGAGGAGGAGGAGGAGGAGGAGGAGGAGGAGGAGGAGGAGGGAGGAGGAGGAGGAGGAGGAGGAGGAGGAGGAGGAGGAGGAGGAGGAGGGGGAGGAGAGAGGAGGAGGAGGAGGAGGAGAGGAGGAGGAGGGAGGAGGAGGAGAGGAGGGAGGAGGAGGAGAAGGGGGAGGAGGGCGAGGAGGAGGAGGAGGAGGAGGGGGGGAGGGGGAGAGGAGTCGGACACTTCAGAGGCGTTCGGGCGCCTTCGTCGGGCTCTGGAGGCCTCACGGCCTGGGGCTGCTCCGCAGCAGCTGCGCCTCCGCCGAGGGCGCCCGAGGGGGTGCCAGAATCGTCCGGAGCGGCCTCCGGAGGCCCGAGGCGCGGCCCGAAGCAGCACGCCCCCGTGCGCCGTGACACAAATCATACGTTCGCTGTCTGTTGCCCCTGAGAACGCCAACGCCGCACGATGATACGCATGGCTGGCACGGCATAGCACGGCAAGGTTGTCGCCGTCTGGGCACCAGGCACGGCACGGCACGGTTGGTTCTGCGGATTCTGGAGACAAGGCATGGCATGTCATGGCAGGCGAGCACAGCGCGGCACGGCACTCTCTTCGCCCTCTGCAGATCAAGCACGGCACAGCACGCGGGCACGGCATGGCGCGGCAAGTCATTGCATTCGAAACCAAGGACGGCATGGCACGTCATCATGGCACGGCACACAGGCGGCATGTTGTTCCGCATCCCAGGAATCGGGCACGGCACTCTGGCACGGGACGGCACGGCATGCGGGTGGCACCGTCCTCGCGTTCCAGAGACTGCGCGGAGTACGGCAGGGCACGCGGGCAGCGCTCCCTGCGCCTTCCGAGCATTGGGCACGGCACGGCACGCAGGGCACGGCGCAGCTTTCGGGCGGCATCCTGCTCGCATTCCAGAAGCCATGGCATGGCACGGCACCCGAGCACGGCACGGGACGGCACGCCGGCGGCTATGTTGTCGCATTCCAGAAGTCACGGCGCGGCACGGTGAGGCGCGCGGGCGGCACTGCTTTCGCATGCCAGAAGTTGGACACGGCACACTCTGCAGGTCAGATCGGTTGGTTGTCGGAGTCAAGTCAGCGTCGTGGTTTTCTGTTTAACATGTCGCCCATGCTGCAGAGCCCCAGAGAGACGCGGACTTATTCGGCACCGCCCAGCCAAACACGTCCTCCCCCAGAAGAGTGCAAAACCAAGCGACAATTAGTAGGGAGGTGGAGGAGGAGGAGGCGGAAGGGAGGAGGAAGGGAGGGAGGGGAAAGACTGATGGGCAGAGGAGGAGCAGGACCATGATGGAACCTGGATGCAGTGCCCGTGGTAATTAATCCCTTCTATTTGTTCTAGCCTTGGCAAGCTGCCATAAAGTGTTCCAGCCAAGGCGAAACTATCCTGTCCGTTACGGGTTCGCTTCAGGCTGCCAGATGTTCCAGCCTTGATCACCTAGATATTCCAACCATGTATGGGGCTTCCTTGCGAGAGGGACAGCCGGGGGAAAGTGGAGGATGAAAAGAAGAATGATGAGGACGTGGAGGAGGCAGTATAGCAGCAGGGGGAGGAGGAAGAGGTGGAGACGAACGGAGGGGAGGAGGGGATGTCAGACACCAGTTCAGCAAGAGCAGGGGACACAGGATGGCGTGCTCAGTTCTCAGTCGTTGAATCGGGCGTGTGGGCATCAGCGAGCCACACGAGTCTGCCACTTGACAAACGGCGCGCATCCAGCCTCGTTCGGCCAGGCATCTGAGGAACGCGCGTTCATGTTTCATTCGTCTGACAACCGAATCGTACCAGCTACCCCTTCATTGCGCAACAAGGGGGCAGCATACTCCGTGAGTGCTGCACTGAATGGTCTGATCCGTAGCGTCATCAGCAAGGTACTACAAATAAAAGTGAACGCTTGCGCGTCTGCGTTGGAAGGCGAGTGCCGATGCGGGCAGTGGACGAACACTTGCCGGTAGACCACATGGCTGTTATAATTGCAGCATGTGATTTTCCAGATGCGATGCTGCGCGACACCGCCACTGCGCGCGCCAGGGGCGGCCAGGGGTAATGGGGCTGGAGGCCACGGAACGCCCCACACACGGAACAAAGAGTTTGGTCTTGATGTCGTTGTTTCGTGGCGAAGGCCAAACGGGCACGTGTTAAGATCGATGCAAAATGGTTATCCCCTTTGTTGCGCATGAAGCGAAATTCACAAATACGCGAAGAACACGACACGACACGACACGACACACACACACACACACACGCACCGCTGCAAGCGCGGTGATGGCATCTGCTAGTCGAGATGATTGCGTGGAGCTTCACAAATACGTTCCCGCAAGACGGGCGCTGAACAAACGCGTCTATGATGTGGACTGCCTCGTTGGCTGGACCAGGGATGCGGGAGCACGCAGGGACATGCGTGTGATGCTTACGCGTTGCCCGAACATTGATAGAGCGAACCAATCAAGCGACCGGACTCGGGAGCCTAAAGGCGGGCCCCATGGCGCGCAACTCAACACACACACACACAGACAGGTGTTGCTGCGGGCCCCCCCCCCATGACCAAAACAAGAAACTGATCACACAGTGGTAAACAAGGCGGGGACCCACTACACAGCGCCAACCAAGGTTGAGACGATACGGGCAGGATGCTATGGCAACTCGCCATGAGGCCCAACACGAAAAGGCAAGATAGGGCAGGACCCCATGGGCATGACCCTGTGGCCAACTGCCGAAAAAAAAACAGCACTCCGCACGGGTGCGGGCAGGCGCTCGTTGCTCCAAATACGTAACTGCTCGTGACACACATTGACGAGGCCAGCAGCGTGCCTCTGCTACAGTCGGAGGTCGTCGAGAGTGGGCACGTCCAACGGAAGGTAGTGCCGCACCCTTTTCCAGCCTTTCGCTGCGCCAGGCCTGGCCGCTCGGGAAGGCGCGCCCTTGGCCTTGGCCGCATTGGGGTCGCCTTGTACGGCGTGTTTGCGCACAGCTGGTAGACAGCTTTATGTGCCTCGCATCGTGGCCCTTGCCAGAGCACCTGCAGCCTTGTGGTGCCAACGACGTCCTTCAGCCGTGCGTTCCTCCGTGCCTCGTGGGGATGTTGTGCCAGCTTCCTCGAGCCTAGCCGTGCTGGACCCGTATTGTCCAGCGTGATCAAAAGCGTCAAGTTTTGCGTGCCTCCAGGTCCACTTCCCGGTCTCGGTCGGTTCCCACCCGGGCCTGCACAGTTGCGACGGGCCTCTTTGGCGCAGCTTTCCTGGCGTCTTGGCCTAACGTATGGGCCAACGTTTCTGCAGTAAGCCGCTTGGCGCGGAAGGTGTGTGCGTTCGTTTAGCTCAGCGAGCCTATCGAACCACACTGCAAGCTCGCATTCAACACGATGGTGGCCGACGCAAGCATGAACATGTATACCAATCAAAGAGCATCTCAACACGACGGTCTCTTGAGCGGCCCGCATCGGGGCACACATTACAGCGGTTCATTTGCCCAGCGAATTCGCACCGTCGATTTGTAGGAAATTGCGTTAGCCAATTCTCTCTCTCTCTCTCTCTCTCTCTCTCTCTCTCTCTCTCTATATATATATATATATATATATATGCTCGGTCCCCCCCCCCCAGCGACCCCCCAAAACGCCCAAGACACGAAGCCGCGGTCTTGAGATGCTGGCACCGAACAGCCGCAGACACATGGTCTGTCACAGCGGGCTGTGACCCGAGAAGTATTCCTCCTCATCTTACTCTCCCTCATCCTCCCCCTCCTCTTCCATCTCCCCCCTCGCCTCTGCTTCTACTAGAACCAGAGCCAGGACCAGAACCAGAGCCAGAACCAGAACCAAAGCCAGAACCAGAACCAGAACCAGAGCCAGAACCAGAGCCAGAACCAGAACCAGAACCAGAGCCAGAACCAGAACCAGAACCAGAGCCAGAACCAGAGCCAGAACCAGAACCAGAACCAGAGCCTTGCTCGGAGGCCACGAAACACTGTGTATCACATGTTTTCTGGTTTTTCTGGTCTGGGAACCAACGAAACATTGTATATCACAGGTTTTTCTGGTTTTTCTGGTTTTCAGGTGCCGACAAACAGGAGGTGGGGGAGCGGTGGGGCGAGGCCGCGGCGAGCATTTCAGCTCCAGAAACCAGAAAAACCAGAAAAACATGTGATACGCAGTGTTTCGTTGGTTCCCAGACCAGAAAAACCAGAAAAACTGTGATACACAGTGTTTCGTGGCCTCGGCCGAAACCGATATGCTTGCGCGCACGGTGCCCGTGACGGATGGGCCGAGCGGATGAGTTCGTCAGCCTGGATGGCAGGCCAAAGTTGAGTTGTGTATTCGTGCTTTGGGCGCCAGGGGCGAGGATTTGTGGCTGGCAACAGGGAAGATGCTGGAGGAGGCCTTCCCCAAGGAGCACTGCCAGTGAGCGGCGAGCGCTGTAGTCCCCGAAGAGTACACAGTTTTTTCTTGCTCGGAGGCCACGAAACACTGTGCATCACAGGTTTTTCTGGTTTTTCTGGTCTGGGAACCAACGAAACATTGTATATCACAGGTTGTTCTGGTTTTTCTTGGTTTCAGGTGCCGACAAACAGGAGGCGGGGGAGCGGTGGGGCGAGGCCGCGGCGAGCATTTCAGCTCCAGAAACCAGAAAAAAACAAAAAAACATGTGATACGCAGTGTTTCGTTGGTTCCCAGACCAGAAAAACCAGAAAAACTTGTGATACACAGTGTTTCCTGGCCTCGGCCGAAACCGATATGCTTGCGCGCACGGTGCCCGTGACGGATGGGCCGAGCGGATGAGTTCGTCAGCCTGGATGGCAGGCCAAATTTGAGTTGTATATTCGTGCGTTGGGCGCCAGGGGCGAGGATTTGTGGCTGGCAACAGGGAAGATGCTGGAGGAGGCCTTCCTCAAGGAGCGCTGCCAGTGAGCGGTGAGCGCTGTAGTTCCCGAAGAGCACACAGTGTTTTCTTGCTCGGAGGCCACGAAACACGGTGCATCACAGGTTTTTCTGGTTTTTCTGGTCTGGGAACCAACGAAACATTGTATATCACATGTTTTTTTTGTTTTTCTCAGGTGCCGACAAACAGGAGGTGGGGGGAGCGGTGGGGCGAGGCCGCGGCGAGCATTTCAGCTCCAGAAACCAGAAAAACCGGAAAAACCTGCGATACGCAGTGTTTCGTTGGTTCCCAGACCAGAAAAAAACAGAAAAACTTCTGATACACCGTGTTTCGTGGCCTCGGCCGAAACCGATATGCTTGCGCGCACGGTGCCCGTGACGGATGGGCCGAGCGGATGAGTTCGTCAGCCTGGATGGCAGGCCAAAGTTGAGTTGTGTATTCGTGCTTTGGGCGCCAGGGGCGAAGATTTGCGGCTGGCAACAGGGAAGATGCCGGAGGAGGCCTTCCTCAAGGAGCACTGCCAGTGAGCGGCGAGCGCTGTAGTCCCCGAAGAGTACACAGTTTTTTCTTGCTCGGAGGCCACGAAACACTGCGCATCACAGGTTGTTCTGGTTTTTCTGGTCTGGGAACCAACGAAACATTGTATATCACAGGTTGTTCTGGTTTTTCTGGTTTTCAGGTGCCGACAAACAGGAGGTGGGGGGAGCGGTGGGGCGAGGCCGCGGCGAGCATTTCAGCTCCAGAAACCAGCAAAACCAGAAAAACCTGCGATACGCAGTGTTTCGTTGGTTCCCAGACCAGAAAAACCAGAACAACCTGTGATACACAGTGTTTCGTGGCCTCGGCCGAAACCGATATGCTTGCGCGCACGGTGCCCGTGACGGATGGGCCGAGCGGATGAGTTCGTCAGCCTGGATGGCAGGCCAAGGTTGAGTTGTGCATTCGTGCTTTGGGCGCTCTGGGGGGTCGCTGGGGGGGGATCATATATATATATATATATATATATATATATACTGGCCTGGGCCAGTCGCGTAGTTTTAGGTCGCCAGACTGAGCTCGATCAGACAAGCACAGGACAGGGACAAATCGGAACCAGAGATTCTGGGAAAGTTCCAGAGAAACAAGAAAACGTAGTTTGGTTATGTGAAGCATTGCGCGCGCATTCGCCGAAGCGGCCGAGCGCGAGGATCCCAAAGGACACGTTGGCGCTCAAATAGATCGTTGAGGGCGGCTGGGAAAACCGCATCTGCGCGGGCACCGGTAGCGGAAGCGCGGCTTGCACAGGGGGCGCAATAGGTCTGCATTTCGGGCGCGGGCGCGTCCAGGCGGGGGGCAGGGACAGCGCGGCCGGGGCCGTCGCCCCCCATGGCGTCTCCTCCCCCCCCACCCAGGGCGCATGACGACGCGCAGGGCGCCGCCGCGGGAAAATGTCAGAGAATCGTCGGAGAATCTCGGAACGGGGAGTCGGGGGGCGCGCCAAGTTTCGCGGGCCGGATGTTTCTCCGAGAGTTCCGGCCAGTTCCACCAATGCTCGTTGTTGTAGATGGGCGGCGCAGACTCTGCGCCGTCCAATCGGCCCCGTCTCTCTGCGGCAGAGAGACGGGGCCGATTGCACCGACGTTCGCGCGTACGTCAGCTGCATGCGTAAGATGGAGCGTCAGCGCTCTCGTTTCCAATGTGGCGTGCCGCGCTGGCGGCCCGCGTAGGCCACCTCGTAGGGTCGCTATGGCATCTTGCGCAAGACCACTTCTTTTCGTCGCTCAAACGTTTCAGGCGCGGCTCGTTTTTCTTCATAGATTCTCAGAGTTCGAGAAAATTGGGGACGCGAAAAAAGTGCGCGTCGCAGTTTCCGGTCCCGGGCGCTGTGAAAATTCTTGACGCTTCGCGTATCCCCACCAGCCGGCCGCAGCCCGACCGTGACCGCCTGCCGCTTGCGTTTCCGCCTGCGTTTTTTTTTTGTTTTATATTAATAATAATAATAATAATAATAATAATAATAATTTTAAAAAAAAAAAAAAAAAAAAAAAAAAAAAAAAAAAAAAAAAAAAAAAAAAAAAAAAAAAAAAAAAAAAAAAAAAAAAAAAAAAAAAAAAAAAAAAAAAAACGTATCCCCACCAGCCCATCCTACACCAGGCACTCGAACGAAGAGCGCCGATGATCGGCAGCTGTTCTCCTCCCCCTCTTCCTCCTTCTCCTCCGCCTTCTCCTCCTCCTCCTCTCCTCCTCCTCCCTCTCCTCCTCCTCCTCCTCCTCCTCCTCCTCCTCCTCCTCCTCCTCCTCCTCCTCCTCCTCCTCCTCCTCCTCCTCCTCCGCCTCTTCCTCTTCCCTGGGCGTCTTGGAGGTATCTTCGAACGTTTTGGTGGGCTCTTGGGCCTCGCGGGCGGGCGGGCGGCGCTCCGCCCGCCCGCGCGCAGGGCGCAAGAGGAGAGTCCGAGACGTCTCTTGAGGCCCTCTTGAAGGACATCGATCGCAGAAGGGGGAAGCATTTTTTAGCGTCGCCCCCCTGGGGGGCACGATCCTCGTGAGGGGTGTCGAATCTTAGCCCTCCCAGGGGTCGTTCTTGGACGCTCTAACTACCCGCGGCCCCCCCTGTCCAGGTCAGTGGGGAGGGGGTAGGGGGAGGGGTAAACCCCTCCCCGAAGGGGAAGAAGGAGGGGTGGAAGAGGAAACACTCTAAACCACCGACGCCCAGAGGGCTGGTGGGATTTGATCTCGGGGGTCCAACGCTCCAAGGTTTCACAGTTTCAGCCGGAGGCGGGCGATTGCCCAACGCCTCGCCCGATATTTTCGGAGTGGCGAAGTCGGTCCCTGAGGCCCGCGGGCCACCCGCGGGGCTGCCAACACCCCCGGGCGGGCCTCCAGCGGCACGCCCATGCGCACAAGTGGCCACAGGTGGCCAAATACGTGACGGGGTGATCTCCGCCACGGCGCATCCCCTGCTTCGTGAAGCCGATTGCGCCCAAGTCGCGGCGAGCCTTTTCTCAAGCAGTGGCGAAGCGTCCAGGATCGCCATTGGCCTACCAAACAATGTTCTAAGAATCTTTTGTGGTCCCCACGAAATGATCTTAGAACATTTATGGGTGGGGTGGCTCGGTTTCACAAATCGGCTTCATAATCTAAGGACATTGCGTTTGTCATTAGAACATGTTTGGGTTCTGAGGACACTTCGTGGTAGGCTTATAGGAATGCCGGGACGGTCAGTCCCTGCTCTATTTTCGGAGGCGCCTCCCGTGGCCCGAAACACTGCACAGCTTTGATCCCGGACAGACTCCGTACGTGTCCCAGCTCCGCCCTGTCCAGCGACAGAGTGCATGGCTTGCTCGGTGCTGTTTCGTGTGCACTCGCGTCGCAGCCCCCAGTTTGGGAGTCGTCATGCTATGATGGTCGCCACGCTTGCTGGTCCTTGATACGATTGCTGCCATTGCGTTGTCGAGTTGACGTTCGCCGCCGCTTCCGGAGCCATGGAGCTCTTCCCACGTCAACCGAATTCATGCCAGAACCCTGCGGGCTGGCTCCGGCCGGTCCTTTGTCGCCGCGCGCAGACGAATCTTTCCTGTGCTTCGCCCACGAGGGCGCGGTCGGGCGGAGCCTGTGGCCCAGTGGCCCGCCAGTGGGCCCACGAGGAGGGCCCGCGAGGCGTGCTGCGCACGGGTCGCGCGGCGGTTCGCGGAGCGGCTCCACCGCGGGCTCGGGCCGCGGGCGGGCCGCCGGCGGGCCGCGGCCGGGTCGCCCATGGTCCGCGGGTCGCGGGGCGGGGCGCGGGGCGAGGGCGAGAAGGACTAGGCAGCAGAGTCCGCAGAGCGGCACCCCCTGTCAGCCACGCAGCCAAGTGAGGGCCAGGGCCATCCTGAGCCCAGGGATGGGCTCACAGACCCTCACCGCCTCGGCCAGGACGGCGTAGACGGCATGCCGGGGCCCGGGGTGCCCGTGGCCAGGCACGGCGGTGGTGCACGGGCCGCCTTCCGCGCAGCGCCGACGGCCGCGTGGGCCCGCGGGGGAGGGAGCCCCGCCGGCCCCTGGCAGGACTTCTCCGCGGCCCACGGCCTGGGGTTCGGCCTGGGCGCCGCCAGCGGGCAGGCTGCGGGCGCCGCACGAGCAGTCGACCTCGGGAGATTGTCTGCTCGTGGTCGAGGAGTGGTGATCGAGGCTTCGAGGATCGAACTTCGAGGGCCCCAGGCTTCGAGGATCGAGGTTCGCGGGCCCGGCCCCGAACCCCAGATGGTTTCTGGTTTGCTTCTCGTCATTCTGTGACGATCATCTGGCTGCGTCAGCACAAACTGTCGGAGGCACGCGCGGACCTCCGAGCAGATATGCTTCGCTGGAGTTGGCAGCTTTAGGAAAGCCCAGGCATCCACGCCCCAGTGGATATTGTTCTGTGTTTACCTGTTGTTTGACTATGTCGTTGTGCCCGTCCGTTCTGATTGACGAGTGAGCGACTGAGAAATTGACCAGACGAAGGGATCACAGGTCCCATGGCAACGTGGAGTGGCAGCCGTTGGCCAACATTATCTTCGGCATCTCCTCCCAGCCTAGCCCGTCGCTGACCAGCGAAGGATGCACCAGCGTTTGGTGTGGTCAGAGGTGGAAGGACCAGACGGGATGATGGGATGCCGAAGGGGCAAGGGTGAAGTTGTGGCGTTAAGTACTTTCGTAGCTTCCCACTCTCCGCTTTACCTCTGCGGGCAGCAGGAGCTTGGCGCAGCCGGGTGTTGAGGCAACAGCGGTGCGCGTCAGGGCCATATCCCAGTTTCCTTCTCCTGGTCTTTGGGCAGGGGGGCGAGGGGAAGGAAGGGACTATCCCTCATCGAAAGAATTGTGACGGCAGCTCTGTTACCAGCGTGGGCCTCTCGGGGCCAATTTCCGTCCCGGGGGCCTCAAAATGCGACCCGCGCTAAAACAAAATGCCTTCGGGAGGGGGTCAAGAGGTCCACGTCGATAAGCACGACGGGACGTCAGAGGGGGAAGATTGAGAAGGCGGGCAGCTTAGGGGAAGGGGAGCGCGGAGGAGGGTGAGAGTAAGCACACACAGGCACACATGTTGAGCAACTCTGCTTGCAATAGGATTGATCGTTGGAGCGCGTCTTCTCTATACATATTATGTGCACATACAAATGTAGATATGATTGTGCAGATATTTCGAGATGTGTAAGCCAGTCAGTCATGGTATGTCTCTCTGTTTCTCTCTCCCTCTTCTTTATATACATGTGTGTACACATATATATATATATATATATATATTGAGGTGGCACACGGGGTTCCCCATTCGGCTTGAAGACGAAGACGCTATTTGAAGACTCTATTGGCCAGGGGCGGTCGAGCGGGTGAAGACGCTAAACGCTTTGAAGACGCAATTGCGCAACCAAAGGGTGAAGACGCAAAGGCGCTTGAAGACGCAATTCCGTTTGAAGACGCAAGTGTGCTTGAAGACGTTATTCCCGGCGCAGACGCTGTTCCGCCTGTTGGTCTTGCTGCGGAGGGCCTGATGCATTGCGTTCCTGGCGCAGCCGCTATTTCTGGCGCAGACGCTATTCCCGGAGCAGACGCTATTCCCGGCGCAAACGCTATTCCCGGCGCAGACGCTATTCCCGGCGCAGACGCGATTCCCGGCGCAGACGCTATAGCGTGGCGCAGACGCTGTTCCCCGCGCAGACGCTATTCCCGGCGCAGACGCTATTCCCGGCGCAGACGCTATTCCCGGCGCAGACGCTATTCCCGGCGCAAACGATATTCGTGGCGCAGACGCTATTTCTGCCGCGGACAGGCCCATTGATTGGGGGGCTCCCCGAAGGCCCCGAGGGCTCCGTCCGCGGCGGGGGGGTCCGGTTTGGCATGGTGTCGGGCCCATGGGCGCTTCTCGCCGGAGGTCCCGTTTGGCATGGTGTCGGGCCCATGAGCGCCTTCCCCGGAGGTCCCGTTTGGCATGGTGTCACGCCCCGAAAACGTGGTCCCGGGAGCCGTTTGACACGGTGTCGAGTTCCCGGGGGCATCCCCGGGAGGTCCCGTTTGGCTTGGTGTCGGGCCCCCGAAAACTGGCGCCGGAAGGCCCGATTTGGCACGGTCTCGGGCCCCCTGGGGCCTCTCCCGGGATATCCCGTTTGGCATGGCGTTGGGCCCCCGAAGACTTGCCCCGGGAGGTCCCGTTCGGCATGGTGTCGGGACCTCCCGGGGGCCTCCGTCAGGTGGGCCGCTGCTGGAGCATCCCGCTGGCGGGCGTGGCTGCGAACCGCTACTTGGCGCGGGTGGTCGACTCCTCGGACTCCGAGGTCGGCGATCGACGTTGGATCCGCGCCAGCGCTGCCGCCCGCCCCCTTCCCGCCGGGCGCCAGGGGGGGCGCGGAAAAAAACAATTGCCCCGGGCTTCTATTTCTAACCCGCCCCCCCTGGCGCCGCGGCGGGATCGGGGCGCGAGCAGGGGCGCGCATGGAACGTCGATCACTTCTGAGGAAGCGGCGCCCAGCCCAGGCGGCTTCCCCAGTCGGTTTCCCCAGGCGGCAGTGGTCGCCCTCGGCAGCGCGGACGGGCCGGGGGCCGCGGCGGTGGCCCCCGCCCAAGTGACCGCCCTCGGCTGCGCGGGCGCGGCTTTGGCCCCTCGCAGCGGTCTCCCCCAGAGGCGGCCGCGCCCTGGCGCTGCCGCCCCCGAGTCAGCCGCCCCCCAGCGGCTCGCCCCGCCCGGTGTGCAGGAAGCTTGGGGCGAGGACCCGGCGGGGCCCGTGCCCGCGCCCGCCGCCGCGCCCGCGCCTGCTCCCGCCGCAGCGGCGCGGGCCCGCCGGGGCGGGTCTGGCGCGGCCGCCCACGGAGCAGCTGCCCCCCAGCGGCTCGCCCCGCCGAATGTGCAGGAGGCTTGGGGCGGGGGCCCGGCGGAGCCTGTGCCTGCGCCCGCGGCCGCCCCCGCGCCAGCGCCCGCTGCCGCGGTGCGGACCGGCACGGGCGGGCACCAGGGCATCCTCGCGGCCGCCCAGGCGCGGGCCGCCGCGGCGCGGGCTCGCCCGGGCGGCGGGCATCGGGCTTGCCCGATTCGCGGCTACGCCCGGTGGGTCCCGCTCTGGGGCAGCCGGCAGCTGAAGTGCCTGTCGGGCTTAAAGGGTCCACGGCGCTGCCCCAACGCTGGGACTGGCCCGCGGCTGTCGTCTTGGCACCGCCAGCGCGCGGTCCCGGAGCGGGAGCGGGATGCGAGCAACCGCCAGGTCGTGGCGGGGGCGGCCGCGGCGCGCGCCCCGCATGGCCCGGCGTTTTTCGTGGCCCTCCGGGCTACGCTTTATTTAATGAAGCGTTCCCGGGGTTCGGCAGGAGGAGGAGGAGGAGGAGGAGGAGGAGGAGGAGGAGGAGGAGGAGGAAGAGGAGGAGGAGGAGGAGGGGGGGCGGAGGAGGGAGGAGGAGGAGGAGGAGGAGGAGAAGGAGGAGGAAGAGGAGGAGGAGGAGGAGGCCCCCGTCCGCGGTGGAGAATCTGGCGGTTGCCAAAAGTTGCGCCCTGGCGCCATCGTTTTGGCGGGGAGTCGATAGGGGTGGCCCTCTTAAGTTGCGCCCCGTCTGCCGAGGAAGCACCCTCCGCCTCGCAGCGACTGCGCGATCCTCGCGGGCGTTCCCGGGGTTGCCCCGAGTTGCGCCCCTTTGCCATCGTTGCCCCGCTTAAGCTGCGCCCCTCTGCTGAAGTTGCACCCTCCGTCGCGCGGCGAGGACGGCCCCTGGTGGGCCCAGGGCATGCCCGCCAGAGACATCCTGCCGTGGACGGGCCCCAGGGGATTAGAGGGCCCTGGGAGTTCCCGGGACCCAGGAGATCAGACCCTCCTCGTCCACTGCGCTGAGGGTCTCTGGCGGAGAATTCGTCCCTGATTCTCTACCAGAGACTCTCGGGGATCCCCGCGACCCTTCGCCAGTGCCGTCGGCGCATCCATCTTCGCCGTCGCTATCCTCCCTTGCGGCAGGGGGCTCGGGGTAGAGAGGCGCATGCCCCACCGCGCGGTGGCTGCGCGCCCCTCGCGAGCTTCGCGAAGTAGCGGAGGCCAAGCATGCAGCTTTCGGCTTCCATCCCGAGCGCTAGGTGCTAGCTATGGGTTGCCGGAACCCCTGTGCCCGCCCAGATGGACGGGCAGGGGGGGGGCGCTGCCGGGGCTGCCCCGAGTCGCGCCCCCGCGCTCTGTTTTTGCTTTGCGCCGCGCGGCGGTTCACTCGGCGCGGGGGGCGGGGCTTCCGGGGCTGCCCCGAGTCGCCTTTTTGTTTTTTCCGATCCGGACCTGTCGCCGCGTGGCGGCTTGCAGTCTCGAGCTTCCCCCCTCTCCTGCCCTCCCGCCAATAACCTTGCACGCCGCATTCATTTGCAGATATTTGCATATATGCGTCCCGCCACAACTACTTGGATTTATTTGTCCCCGGGACATTTATTTGCATTAAGCTCTTTGGAGAAGCTCGCGCGGGAGGAACATCCGCCGCTCTGCGGTTGATCGGGAGTTTCTGTATATATAGAAGAAGGGGCGCGCGCTTCTGGGCGAGAGGGAAACGACCGAGAGAAGAAGGGGCGGCCGCCCCACAGGACCTCTCCATGGTGCCGGAAGCCCATCAGGGCTCCCTCAGGGCCCCTCCCCCAGGGCCGGGGCTCCCTCGCCTGCCCCCTCCCCCTCCTCCTCCTCCTCCTCCTCCTCCTCCTCCTCCTCCTCCTCCTCCTCCTCCTCCTCCTCCTCCTCCTCCTCCTCCTCCTCCTCCTCCTCCTCCTCCTCCTTCGCCCCCGTCGGCATATCCAGGCGTGTTATGCAGTCAGGTCGTCCGTCCGGAAACGGTGCCGGAGGCCGCTCTGGGCTCCTCTGGGCATCCCCCCCGGGGCCCGTTTTGTGAGGATGTCTCAGGCGAGGGCGCCGGTTTGGGATTCGTCACCGGATCCAGCGGATCCAGCGGATCCAGCGGATCCGTCCGGAAACGGTGCCGGAGGCCGCTCTGGGCTCCTCTGGGCATCCCCCCCGGGGCCCGTTTTGTGAGGATGTCTCAGGCGAGGGCGCCGGTTTGGGATTCGTCACCGGATCCAGCGGATCCAGCGGATCCAGCGGATCCGTCCGGAAACGGTGCCGGAGGCCGCTCTGGGCTCCTCT